GACTTACATTTTGTAACCTTAACCTTTTGAGATGTGTTACGTAGGTTTTGTACATGTAAACTTAAAGCAAGGATGATCAGGTTTTTGTTATGTGAAATAGTGGTCTACTGGACTATTGTTACTATTGTTTGTAGTTTTGTTCTATTGTCAATTGCTCTGACTATCTTGTTGTTGCCTATTACTTTTACAACTTACACATAACTTAATTTCTAAGGATTCTTTGAAAATTTTCAAAATATTTTTTCTGAATTTGTTAATTTAATCAATTTTCAAAAATGACATTTTTTTTAGAAAACCCGGAGTATTCCTAAATATGTTCATGGTGGTTTTAAACTCACGACTCTCTATATTATGAAAAACGGGGCGTGACAACTGGCTTGGATTAGTTGCATGTAAACAAAATAAGAGAGTTTATTTTAATACTTAGTGGGAGTACATACACAACTAAGGGGAGAACTTGTCGTGCATTGTCATTGTTATATTCATATGTTCTCAAGCATATTAGACAAGTATTTCTTACATATGTTACATATTTGCACTTCCAAGACGCTAATGTCATATGCTTCTATTGATGCTTATCATACCTATTATGTTATTACTTTCATACATATTATATTTTTCACAAGGTATTGAATTGAGCAGTGATGTGCAGGACTATGATTTTCAAAGTATTCATTAGAAGATAGTTCTTTTATAGCGTATTGAGATTTAAGGACTTGTACATGAGTGTTGAGATTAGGTTATGATTTTTTTTTGTTATAGTGATTTGCAAATTATAATCATAAATTTCTTATGTATTTTGCCATGAAATTACCAAAATGAGATATTGTTAGGATCATATTTTTATCTTTATACGCTAATTTGATGTTATTCGTGCAGTTAAATTAACTTATCCATGATATTTAGACTCATATTCAAATTAGAACTCTTGACAAGATGAGTTGGACTAGGACTAAATGGACTTTCACCTTGGGTCAATATTTCAATCATCAGGTATGAAGATATGAAATAAGCTTAATCACCACATTTGCTTGTTCCATTATTTCATCAATTGATATAAAAACCAAACAAAATTCCAAATTTTTAAGGAAAAAATAGTAATTAGTATAAATATATTAAAAAACTCAATTCAACACTCATTTGCATATAACTATATTGTCTATTGGAATAAAATTAAAAAAAAATTAAACAATGGGTCAAATTGTAATGAATATAATATCTTTTATTTTTAATTGGAGTAATTTGGTCGTTTAAAGGATTTTGTTAGTTTCGTAACTAATAAGAGGTCTAAGTGTAATATTTTAAATTTGAGAGGTTTAGGTGTTACACGCCTATAAGCTTTAGGGAGTCTGAGTGTAATTTACCAATGCATATATTAACGGCTATTGACGGCAAGAGTCTAAATGTTATGCGTATACAAACTTTAGAGGGTCTGTGTATAAATAGTTTAAATATTAGGGAGTTTAAGTAATTAAGAGAATCTTCAACATAATGCCTAAAACTCAAAAATAGATAAAATTTAGCTATTCAAAGGCAAACAACACGCTCCAACAGAAGATATTTAGATTAAATAAAATATATTTTTTCTACAATGATTCTCTATATTTAGAGTATTATTGTAGCATTATGTATAAATAATTTATAATATATTATTTCTCCTCTTGTCATTTTCCACCTCTCTTGTCCGTTCTTTGTCTTTCTCTCCATTTTTCCATCTCTTCCTTTAATAGTCCCAATAAATATATAAGATATAAGAAATAATATTTAAAGAGAAGTAGTTAAAATATAAAACATCTATTAAAAATATGTATTGAAAAAGTGAGTAACTAGAATAGAAAAAGTGCACTTTTAAATAGTTAAAATACAAAACCTTGTTGGAGATAGTCTAAGCGATAAATTTCAAGAGATTTAGATGTAATTTTTCTTCATAATATACAGTAAGATTCTCCTCTACAATTATTCTTTTTAGGAGTCACTTAATTATTCAGATCCCTTAACATTTAAAATATTATACACAGATCTCTTAAAAATTGTACACGCATAACACTTAGACCCCTGTCATCAATGTGTGTTAGTATATCTGTTAGTAAATTATACCTATATCCACTGAAATTTGTAAATGTGTAATACTTAGATTCCTCAAATTTAAAATGTTATACTTAAACAAAAAATACTCCAATAAAAAATAGAATATCAAATACTTTAAATTTTACAATCAAAATTCGTTTTTTTATTATGACATTAATTGAAATAAAAATAAAAATAATAAAATCAAAAATAATATTTAATTATTTCTTAAAAAATTATAATTATTATATAAATATACTATATATTAAAATTTAATTTGGTCGTTTAAACAACTAAATTAAACTACCAAATTACCCTAATTAAAACTAGAAAATATCGTGTCCATTACAGTTTGACCCCTGTTGATTTTTTAGTTTTATTTTAATAGATAGTATAATTACATATTAACTATAATTTTTAAGAAAAATTAGATTTTTATTTTTGATTTTATTTCAATAAATGATATAATAAAACATAAATTTTAGTTGTAAAATTCATGTTCTATTATGAATGATTAGTATAATTTTATATTAATTATGATTTTTTACAAAAAATTAAATTATTTTTAATTTTATTTTAATAAATGATACAATAAAAAAAAATTTTGATTGTAAAATTTAAAATATTTTATATTATATATTAAATTGAATTTTTTTTTGTCTAATTATAATATTTTAAACTATGTGTGTGCAATATTTTAAAAATTAAGAATCTGAATAATTATACCTGACAAATTTCAATTCTGTCTGAGTGTAATTCTCCGTTTATCACTCTGGGTTTCTTCTAATTTAAACTTTTTTGTTTTTTGTTTTTTGTTTTTGTTTTTTTGTGCTTTTATTCCTTTCCAATGTCTACTTTGCGGACTGTTACAACAACAAAGCCCAGCCAACCGCCTCGGATTGCGATGGCTTCACGTTGTGCATCTCTCTCTCTCACCACAGCTGTTCCATTCCAAACGCCACAGCCCTCATGGGTCTCGCGCGTCCTCTACAGCCCTCTATTTTTTATCACAGAAATTCAATACACAGTTTCCATTCTCACACAGTCACACTTTTCATACTCAAACTGCCCTCTTTTCTAACTTTGAACTATAAAGATTCATCCCCCAAAACCCTCTATACTGATCCCAGAAAAGCTGGGAAGCTCTCACCAAGTTAATTTTCTTCTTCTTTGTCTTATCACATAATTTTTCATACATTTATATCTAGATCGGACTTGTTGCAGTATTATTCTTATAAGGTAATCTTTTGATTTGCACTGATCTGTTACTTAGATTAGTTTTAGAATGGAATGATTTGGTTATGTATTTGTGGCAGGGTTCTTGTACCATATTTTGTGTGTTCGAGTAATAATTTTGATTGGATGAATTGATTTGCGGAGTTCTTTGGAAGATTCTTTTGCTGAAAGAATAAGTTGATTTGATTTTGAAGTTCTTGCTTCGACATGGATAGTCCAATGGATACCGATATAAGCCCATATATGAGGTTTGTTTTGTCAGCACATGATGATTTTGATTGTTTGTATCATCGAAATTGAGTATATTGTCGATTGGATCACCCTCGATTAACCTTGACCAAACTGGGTAACGATAATTTTATCAATTGAATATTTGAGGGAATTGAACTGTGTTTCGCAGATTTGTTGGCATGGTGCTTTTCGGGTGATTGATATGTGTCCGAGCTTGCATTTGATGCACAAGCTGGCAATTCCAATATTTTTTGGAAAACCAAACATACTAATTCTTATTAGTTCTTGAAACTGGCTCTGCTTTCTTTGCTTGTCGGTTGTGGGCTATTGCGATTACATAAAAAATTATGTATGAATTATTATGATGGTAAGCTAATATGAGCTTAAATTGAATAATATGGAAACAAATGATTAATCATTTGCTTCTCACATTCCGTGAATAGCTTGGAGATTGAAGAACTTTTAGAACGGCATTTCGGGAATTGGTTTGATTTTGTTTTGTTTGAAGAAAGGAATTCTAAAGAATCGATCTTTCTTTTAGTTGTTGAATCTCTCTTTGATTGATGAATGTATGATAGTCCGAATCCTCATTACTAATGAAATTCAAATGATTTCTAGATTGATCAGGAGATTCTTTTAGTTGGCTAGAATCTGTTATTTGAATGAAACTAGATCTTGCAGAATCATGTTAAAGATTTGACGATACATTCTATACCTTGCTAGAAAAACGTTTCTTTTTCTTTAAAATCGAAATTAGTGTAATGGAAATAGGATTCTAGTCGATGAATCTTAAAAGGAAACATTCTCCATAGTAAAAAAAGGGAGCTATAAAACGTCACCATCTGCTACGCCTGGGACACCAAAATACGTACCTCAGTAATATCATCATGACTTCAAAATAATGAGTTATATCTCTAAAGACTGAGATGTATACAAAAAATATGTAGTCTGATCTAGACTATTAATGTTCCTGGAGTTGCATGAGATTGTTAGGAATGAGACTTCCAATGCTCATGACGCCTCTTATTTCGCTTAACCCTCGAGCTCTCGTTGCTCAATTTGATGAAGTTCCAGAGCCCGGGGCTCCTCCCCTTGTTTGGGAGCTTACAGTTTCATTTTCTATTTCACATTGTGATGGGGGTTCTTTAATTGGAATGGGCTTGTGGTCTCTAGTCATGTACTTCTATTTCCAACACACAGAGATATGAATAGAAATGTGTGATAACCCATTTATAGGGTGAGAAGACACATGTCTTTCATTCCCATTGAATTGTCACTTCACAAATGTTAGCTTCATTTCGATTGATTACTTTCTGCATACATCTTGGCATCAAGGACTTTTCACTTTCTTGGATGCCTCTTTCGATTGAACCATCTATACTAAATTCTAGATTTCTTAATTAGTCTCAATTTTTTTTTTTTTTTTTTGTAAACCAGTATCACTTGTTTCTTATCTTTCTATGCAGCATATTTGCTGCCTTCTCATATGGAATTGCTTCGATGGCCATGGTTTTTATCAATAAGGCAGTTCTAATGCAATATGCATATTCAATGACCCTTCTTACTCTCCAGGTATAGGTGGACAAGCCTTCTTATTGTTTTACCTTTCTGCCAACCAAGTGGCTTTCATATTTCTTGACAAGGTTTGTTTACTGTATTTGAGCTGTTATTAGCAATTGGCAACAACCTTGCTCATACACACCGGTCGAATGATGGGATACACAAATGCCAGAGGATTAAATATGGCGACAGCAAAAAAACTCATCCTAGTTTCATTATTTTACAATGCAAATGTGGCATTTGCCTTGGCAAGCTTGAAAGGAGTAAATATTCCTATGTACATTGCCATAAAAAGACTTACACCACTTGCTGTATTAATAGCTGGATATATTTCTGGAAAGGGGAGACCTTCAACCCAGGTTAGTATGTGGCTTTTAATTAGCTGTAGCATCTGTACTGCAAGTTTCATAACATTCTGTATATGTTGCCCCCTAAACTGTATACCAATGCTGCTCATTATTCTGACGTCGAAAAGTTGTAGCTACCATTGGAGTGGAGTGAAACATTAAAAATGGCTGAAGCTGTGGTATAAATGCACCATGCTGTTAAAGATTCCGATACATGTTAAAGACATGTAGACCTTTAGTGTGCATTCGATGAACGTTTACTTTAAACTTTATCTTCATTCTTTTTTGTTGGATACAACATAACAAATAAGAGGCAAATATTTACAAAGCAGGCTGCAACATTGAACATCCCACCACCCATGGGATACAATAGAAAAGGTTGCTCTATGCTAAAAGAATCAAAACAAAAGAACCCCTAGCGCACCCCTTCAGTTGAGCCATAATTACTCGGGCAAACTCATTTTCCCAATTAAGCTAATAAAATCGCCTTCCAATTTCCATATTTATGATTTTAAGCAACTGTAACTTATTGGGATTTAAGTGCTCAAATCATGAAGAGAGAACAAAAGCGGGAATAAGGGCGGACAAGTTTGGAACTGCTGAAGATGATTGAGTGCCTCCTCTCACCCTCAACAAAAATATAGTGCTTAAATAATGTGTATACATGCATACCAAGCGTAATTTTTTCTAATCTAGGTTGAAGTTAAAAGACCAAATGTTTAACTACAGTGTACATGAATGCAACAACTGATGCGTGAACAAGTGTACCTGAGTTATAGATTGGCTTAATGGAAGATCATGTGAGTTGTATACTTACCTCACAGGATCGAGCCTTGTTGCTGACACTTTAAGAGCTCTATGTAACAATTGGGATAGTGGCTTGTCTTGGTGTGGACACTGGATGTGATTCAGTGTTGCAGTTCACCAAAAGTGCTATTTGTCACCCTACTTCACCGTTAGTGCAAATTTAATGAAAATATGTTAATAATGCAGTTTGCTCTCACCAAGGATCATAATTTCGTTTCGGTGCATTGTTTCGGTCATCTAGAAAACGGAAACTTTTTGACGTATTTCAAAAATGTTTCGACCTGTTTTGAAAACAGAATGAAAAAAAGTAAAAAATTTAAGAATTATTTTTTCAAAACATAGGTCAAAATATACTAAAATATGTTGAAATACTTTAAACATTCTGAAATAATTGTGCAAATGCATTGGAATATAGCAAAATATTTTAAAACATTATGAAATACCACGAAGTATTAGAATTTCGATTCCATCACTGAATCGTTTCAGTCTCCTTGGAAACGAAAACGTTTTGGCTGTTTAACCGTTTCGAAACGATATTTTGATCATTGACTCTCACTTCACGGTTGAGTGAGTAGAGAGCATGCTTGCCCATGCCCAGGGCCTACCCAACAAAAGATGAGGCCCTAAGCGAAAATTATAAATACGGTCCTTTAAAAATTTATTATAAATATAATTTTAACATACGCCCAAGTTTTATTTAAAATTTGTTATTCTCACTTTTTGTGATGTAAAATTAGTGATTAATTTTTTATATTCACATTTTTTTAGTATATCTTATTCAAGTTTTATGTTTTTAATATTTGGATTCACATTTTTACAGTTGAGATATTCAAAACCCAAAATTCTTGTAAGCAAAACAAAGTGTTAAAACAATAACTCGTTATACTAAGAAAATGTTTAATAAAAATAGAACAATAATACATGATAAATAGAGATTGTATAAATTGATACTTTATTCATCTTTTAAATTGTCTAATAAATTATATCTTCACAAAAGTAGTTGAATTAAATAATTATATTATAAAAATATAATAAATAATTTATTGATCTTTATATATGTATATATAGATCATGGAATAGAAAAGAGTTTTTTTTAGTGATATAGGTAACTAAGTATACAATTTTTTTTAATGCAAACTAGTTAGTGCGTGTGTGTGTGAGAGAGAGAGAGATTTATTTGTAGACTTTAATTGTATTACAATATTTAATATTTTAGTGATTTGACCATTGGAAAGAGACTGTTGGGCCTCTCGGTTTTAGTTGGACTTTTTCTAAGAATTTTGATTCGCACTTTTTCGTGATTTGATTAATATTATACACCCAAGTATAAGTGGTCGAATTGTAGTTTTCTTGGTTTTAAGTCCAAGTATTGATCCCACAAAAAGTTTTAATAATTTGGAAACAAAATAAAATAGTCAAGTTGCTAATTTAAATAGGACATCATGTGATAGCTTGTGATGTGAGCTTAGATTGATAACTAGTCTAAGAGAAATGTAAATGTGCAGATAGATTAAGACAATAATAAAAAGTATCTTTCAGTTTAAGGATTCCATATGCGTTATACTGGCTAAATACTGGAAATACTATTGTACCAAGATTAACTCCCATTTTATTGGTAAGTCAACTGGTTGGTCTGATGTATATAAACCATAGCACAACCGCTTCTTAGACTAGCTGGGGGTAATAAATCATAACACAGCCGCTTCTTAGGCTAACTGGTTATATCCACGTCAATTGATTAACTCAAGCAAACCAGAAGAACAAGTCATTCATGAGGAATACTTGAGTTATTCACTTGATCTCATGATTATAAGTGCGTACATATTAAACCATAATACAACCACGTCTTATTAGGTTAATTGGTGGTATTATAGCATAACACAACAACTTCTGAGGAAAGCTGGTTATAGACGTACCAATTGACTAATTCAAGTAAACCAGAAGGACAAGCCATTCATGAAGAATACTTGAATTACCCAATAGGTCATCTTTGATATATATATATATATATATATATATATATATATATATATATCAGTTAAACATCCTCAGCGTTCCGGTGGAGGACAAGCCATACCGGTAGGAATGCCGTGGTTGTTAGACTAGCAATATAGTTATATATAGTATTTAAATAACCCTAATAACCCAGAAGGACAAGCCATTCATGAGGATCATTTAGGTTCTGTACCACACATCAGTAGAACATCCTCAGCATTCCGGTGGAGGACAAGCCATATCGGTAAGAACGTCATGGTTGTTTAACCGGCGGGTTTTATGATGTACTAATGACATAATTCAAGGCACAACACCGGAATTATGCACATCACTGTATCACGCATTAAGCATATAATACATAGATAAATAAAATATATAAAACATCAGCATTTTCATAATTTAATCAGTATTGTATATATGTTTACCTCTCATTGGAGGATATATGGAACTTCTCACGCCCCATTGCTATAGACAAGCAAGGAGTGTGGGCAGTTTTCATTACAACTGAAATTAAAAGACAGTATTTAAAATGTATTTCACAAGGAACAACTGAAACACAATCACCTTTATTATTAGTTAAGACATAAAAGTGGCGGCAGTTCAACTATTCGAATAGAAAGATATAACAGAAATGTAAAAGTACAGAGTTTGGACTAAAGTGTATCACGGACCGGATCGTGTTGCACTTCTCTTTTTTTTTTTCTCTTTTCTCTTTCTCTTTTCTTTTTCTCTCTTGGATTTCTCTCTGAAGCTTCGTGGTTCCGGCCTCCTGAAGTCTGAAGAGGAGATGCCTATTTATAGAAGAAGAGGAAGCATGAGATGGAGCCTTGATGCTGAGTCGCCAAAGACCACCGTTCGGACGCCCCTTCATTGTCCGGATGGTTGGGCCTTGCTGGATTTTGCAAGTTGCTTTGTATGCTGACTCCTCTCTTGGTGAATTTACACTTTGGCCTTCATTGTTTTAAGTTTTCCTACTTGGTTCCCTGCATTGTGTAGTAATTCTACATTAAACCTGCAACTTGTAAACATAACACACATAAAACTCTAATTACTGCACAAACCCTAATTGACTCTACTTGCTAGCTTTTAGTTATTTTATCACTCTAATTCGACTTTATTATTGTTTTAATTTATATATTAATTAAGGTTAATCAAATTTGTATATGATTGGGTCTTTTGTGTCTAAAATATTTGTTTTTTGGGCCAAAATAATAAGTGAAGACAACAAATATAATTGGGGGCCCTCTTTTTTTAGAGGCCCTAGGCTGCTTAGTTGGCCTACCTATTGGGCCGGCCCTGCCCATGCTGATCGGTAGACTCTTAAGGCCTCAACCAACCACGACTCACATTTGCTGGCTGGATAAAAATAGTCGCTATTTGGGGAAGTAAGAGGACTTGACTTTCAAACTACGGGATAAAAGCTTATGGAGAGTTTAGCTTTAGTTTGGTAACTCAAAGAGATTGTGTTTCTTTGTTTGAGATTTATCATGGTGTTTTTGGGAAGGGATGTAGAACTTCCGTATTTTGGGAATGTGTAGTTATGTCAATTATTTGGGTGGTATGGATGGAAAGGAATATAAAAATTTTCGACGTGAAGGAAGAATACGTCGAATTTCTTTGTGACAAAGTAAGATTCTTGGCCTCTCTTTGGGCGGGGGTATCTAATGAATTTAAGGATGTTCCATTTTTTTTCCTTAGTATAGATTGGATTGCGGCGTGTAGTTAGATGAGTAACCTTTAATTGTCTTTGTTTGTATTGCACTTTATCTCATTTCTGTTCTTTTTTGGGTGGATTTCTTGTCCATTCTATTATGATGTTTTCATAATTGAATGAAAGTTCTTATTACAAAAAAAAAAAAAAAAAACAAAATCCTATTGCTACCCATTTTGTTGGATTTTTTCTATTCTTTTCAGTGTTCTATTATAAATATCAGAGGAGTCTTCTTAAAACAAGCATCTCAATGACTGCTGCTTTTTTGGAGGTGGTTTCTTTATGCTGCTTTTTTTGTTTTGAGAAGATTTTTTAAGCTGCGGCTTTGCCCGTGTCTTATTTCAGGTGACTTTTTCTGTAATATTGATTGCTGCTGGTGTTATTATAGCAGCAATGGGGGATTTTTCTTTTGATGTTTTTGGATATGGCATGGCACTTACTTCTGTTTTCTTCCAGGTTAGATTTGAGGCTTTTATTGGCCAGTGGTTCTGCATAGCATGAGCTAGCTTTGGTACTTGAGTTTGTAATGTGCTTGCTTTACAAATAACTTCACCTATTTGCATATGCAGACGATGTACCTGATATTGGTGGAGAGGTCTGGTGCGGAGGATGGGTTTTCATCAGTTGAGATCATGCTCCATAACAGCTTTTTGTCTTTACCATGTCTGCTATTTCTCATCATAGCTACAGGAGAATTTCCAAATTCTTTGTCATTACTTTTTGCTAAGGTCAGGATCTGGATTCCTATGCGCCATATTTTTATGCCATTCTTGACTGTGTTCAAAAGCAGTGAGAAGTTCATGATTATTCTTGACCAGAATTATGATGCTAAGAACTAACATATGACCTCACAATTGTAATAAATAACATATACATACAGAATTGTGAGAACTAACTTATAATCACATATTGGAATATTTGACAGGATGGAGTCTTCTTTCAATTGGTATTTGTGCTGTGGCATATATCAAATTATTCAGGCTGTGATAAAGAATTATTAAATTATTCAGTCAGGCACGAGATATCATAACAATGCTTTTTGCTCACATCTCCCAACTTCTAAGCCATTTCATGTGCATATCGACTTAATACTCTGGTTTATAGCTATTAACTTCATGTCATCTAATGGTATAGAAGTGAAGCAGAAAAATAGTTTGTTTTTATGCCACATTTGCTATTACTGTCAGTGACAAGGAATTCGATCAATGATTTAAATCTGCAAATTTAATAGTGATTGTGTTCATAAGGTGTGTTGTTGCTCTTGATGTCTTACTGCACCAAAATCTTTTTATGCTTGAGGTTATTTCTTGACAGAAAGACTTTGGAAATTTGAAAATGGACATTGTATAAGTTGGAATTGCTTGGACTACAACCTTTATCAAAACCTCTACCAGCAAGGTTTAGGAGTTTCTCTTTCCAGCCAACAATTTTGTTTAGTATCCTCTCTTGCAGCCTGCTCAACATTTGTTTTTTTGGATCTTCCCCATTCAGTTCGTAAGCCAAGGTATTTCCCCACCTTTTGTAGCAAAGAAACTCTCAAGTACTGTGCTAAATCATGTTGAATTTGAAGAGGAGTATTTGTGCTAAAAGTCACTTCTGACTTGTTGAGATTAACAAGCTGCCCTGTAGCATAGCCGTATATATTGGACTCTGCTTACAGGGTAGAAAAACCAAGAATCATTAGCAAACAGGAGGTAAGAAAGATTAGGAGCATCCCTATTCAGCTTGAGCCCTTGTAATGATCCATCGTTAAAGGATGCTAGGCATTCAGTTACCAGGATGAACAGCTATGGGAAATTAGATCCCCTTGTCTAAATCTTCTGGATGGGTGAATTCTAACTGCCCTGTCACCATTGATAATTATGTTATACCTAATTGTGTTGACACATTGCATAACTAGAGCTACCCACTTAGGGTCAAAACCAATCTTTGACAGCAAATCACTCCAAAAATCCCACTCAACCCTGTCATAGGCATTTGACATGTCCGACTTGACTGCCATATGGTATTTTATGGTTCCTCTTCTTTGCCTCATGGAGTGCAGGGCCTCCTGGGCTATAATTATGTAATTTGGTATTAGTCTTCATCCAGCAAAGGCGCTCTAGTTTTGTGAACCCACCTGGGGCATGAAATCCTTCAATTGAGAGGCTAGCAGCTTTGATATGATCTTGTATATGTCTATAATCCCCAACCTGTTCAGTATTGGGGACCTTTAGGATGAATGTTATTTTAGTCTCACTAAGTTCCTTAAGTAGAAACCTAGATTGAAAAAAGGATTGAATAGCATTGAAAACCTCTTGGATGCTGTGCCAATATTTTTGATTGAAGAGACTGGGTGGCCATCTGGTTGTCTTGGGGGCCTTTAGAGATCCAAGGCTGAATGCTGGATGTTTAACCTCCTCTGGAGTGGGCATCCTCATAAGCTTTTCATTCATTTGGGATCTCCTGGATGATGTGGTTTTAGCTTCTCTGCCCTTCTGATGAGAATACTCTCTGGTAATGCTCTTGCAACAAGGAAATAACATGATCTTTGTCAGTCACCCATTCACCATTCTGGTCCTTGATCATCATCTGCCTATTCTTTGCCTTCTTTGGATGTGAGTGGTGTGGAAGAATCTTGTATTCCTATCCTCCCATTTCACCCATTTTAATCTTGACCTTTGGCCCCAATACTTTTCTTCCCTTTTGCCATGCTTTCCCCAATTCGTCTTGTATTTGCTTTATCTCAACTTTAGGCACATTTCGATAGCACTGATTTTGCAGGTGCATCAGTTTGGCTTTAGGATCTCAATATGCCTCCTATTGTTTGAGAAATAAGTAGTTTTCCATGCCTTAAGATCCCTTCTATAGTTTGTCAATTTTGCATAAGTCTGTACATCCTTGATCCTTCGGTTGCTTTCTCCTAGCTGTGTTTACTGACCTAAGGGCACTGCTTCTTATCTGCCTGAAAGGCCTCAAATTTAAAATACCCCTTTGGTCTGTCAGTGTGAGGATCTGTGTCCAAAATTAATGGAGAGTGATCAAATCGTCCTGGTCAAGGTACTATTGACAATCGCCTCGGTGAAGAGTATTGTCTAGTTGGGAGTGGCCAGTCCTCTATGAAGCTTTTCCCTAACATTTGCCTAACACTCTCTATGGTTATCCCAAGTAAAGTTGCATCCTTTGCTTTCAAGGTTGATCAAATTGCTGTTGTCCAAAAAGGCGTGAAAACTCCTTCTCTTATAACTTGTTGTACCCCTGAGACCTTCTTTTTCACTGGTTGCTGCTATGCACATCCAGGAAATTCAAGACTTTCCCTATATGCACTAAGTTTTTCCCAATGTCTCCTTCGGATTTCATAATCAGGATGACTAGAAATGAAACTTAGGTGCCATGGGCCTCTTGGGCCTTCATAACCAAGTCTATTTGGTTCTGATTGAAGCTTTCCACTTCCAAATTAACTGTGCTTTTCCACATAACACATAGGCTTCCTACTAGGCCTATGGTTCCTCTACCAGCTTTCCATCAAATCTCAGTTCTCTTTTTATTTTCTCTACTCTATACCTCCTAATTTTTGTTTACTTGGGGTTGACGTTGGACATATATGTCCTTTAGTGTTGGAACTGTCAGGGAGCCCCTAACCCTTGACAGTTCCAAGCTATGATCTTCATGGTGGAGTCGGGGGCATGTTTAGGCTTGCCTGCCTCAGCCATATTGGTGATTTCTTCAGTCCAATCAACACAAACCTCATCATGTAGTGTGGATGCTTCACCACTCAAATTTATGAAAGATTTCTTCTTCTTGAATTTTCGAAAAAGTTCGCCTTGTGGTTGCATTGTTAAAATATCTCTGCCTTTGTGTGTCATCAACACGGGGTTGTATCAGAAGTGGTTCCTCAGTACCTGGTGTTGCTAGTTCTGCTTGGGGGGGATAAGAGGTTGATTCCATCATTCTTGTGAGGGTTTTGTTGCTCTATGTTGAAAGGCTAGGTACCCATCTTCTCTTTGGAACATCTTCATTGCCCTTCCTTCTTTGCAATCCAGTGGAAGAGGTCTTTTAATGGAGAGACTCAGGAACACATAAGCCATGCAATGTTCCACGAGAACGTCAGGGTTGGCTAGGGGAAGGGATTTCACCTCCTAGTTCTGACATGTCACTCCCTTTGGTGAGACTTCACTCGCCGTCGTTGATTTATACGGTGAGTGTTAATACTCTGATATTTGGCTTGGCGTTGCTCAAAGATGGGGGCCAAACTTAAGTTGTGGATCAGTGGAAGCAGTTGTTCACATCCCCGATTGATCATGCCCTATCCTGCTGTAGTTGTAGCAAAAATCCCCAAGCCTCTCATATTTGAGATCTATTCTACTATCTGGGTAACGTTCTCAAGGCAACCAGAAGGTGTTGTGAGATTTTTTTTGTGAGAAGATTTTGCCCATTAGGCAAGAGATAGCAGTGGGTTTGTCTGATTTTAGTTGAATTACTGGGGCTTTGTTGTGGTGTCATGGGTTAGTCTGGGTAGCTTCCTGTTAGGTGGTGGTGGTATTGGGGTTGAGAATTTTTGATGACTGAAGAGACATGCTAAGGGAGTTGAACAAGGCTGTGTGGATAATTTGCATAAGGGAGCATTGGGTTAGCTTATGAACCAGTTTAATATGGGTCGAAAGTTAAGAGGCTTGGCAGATGTGATGTAGATGGAAAGGCTTGAGGTGTTAGGAACAAAAACAAAGAACAGGGATGAAATATTCAGTGGTGGGGTGGAGCAGATATTGCATTGAGAGAAGGGAGGTTTGAAGATAGGTGGCTCAGAATATGGAGAAAACATACAGGTAAGGGAAAGCTAGGGGGAGAGTTGAGAGAGGGGGTGTGAGTAGAAAGCTCAGAATTGATGAAGAGAGAGAAGGACAAGAACCTTCAGGTAGAGAGAGCGGTTAAATTTATTTGTTTAAAGCCTTGAAAAAACTACCTACCCAAGGTCTGAATCATTCTACTGACATTGATATGTGTGAATGTTTTTCCAGTATGCAGAATTGTAAATAATTTGATTAAATTGTTGATTTTCAATTGTTGGCTCTAATGCATATCCCTATTGTTTTCAAGAAAAGGATTGTGTGTTAACTGGCAAACAAATGCCACTGATGATATTAGCTTGTAGAGTGCAAAATGTTCTTGTCAACATTCCCTGTAGACACTGGATTTTGTTTAAAGCTGCATATCAGTATATCGGTTATACTGTTACTGTCTGAAATCTGGAACTGCATAAAACCGGAATGTTAAAACAGGTAACTCATTTAGCAAATGAGAACATAACAGAAGTCCCTTTTGCATTTTTTAGGTATAGAATTTGTACGAGTTATATGTATAGGAGCCTGTAAACGTAAAAAGAAAAGACAAGACAAAAAAATTAAGGGGAAATATGTTTGGTTCTTCACAATGTCAGTCGGCATTTTTGGGGAATACTTTTCTATCATTTTCGAATACTTTTTGCATCAAATGTTTAGGATTTGTGTAGTGGACTTCTGCCATAAGTTAGTAGGATGTTGTGAATATTCTTTTCCTAATATTAATTTATTTGTTGGTTTTCCATGGACAGAGTACTTCACTGTCATTTTTGGTGATTGTTCTTCTTTCATTGGTGATGGCCATAGTTCTCAACTACACCATGTTTTTATGTACCATAGTTAACTCTGCTTTAACTACAACCATTGTTGGAGTCCTCAAGGGGGTTGGATCCACGGTATGTATGTAACACATGATGTTTCTTCTCTTACCTTTTCCTTTTTCTTCTAGGTAACACAAGTTAGCGCTAGGCATTTCCTGTGTTGCGTCTATACTTCTTTTGACAAAGCCTGCCTTTTTATACTAATTGCAATCTGTTTCCCCCTTCTCAGACCCTAGGTTTTGTCTTACTGGGAGGAGTAGAAGTACATGCATTGAATGTCACTGGACTAGTGATCAACACGGCCGGTGGTGTGTGGTATTCATATGCCAAATATCAGCAAAAGAAGAGCAAGCCACCTAAGTTAATGTCAGATTTGGAGTCCCATTGTAAATAAAATTGATGATGAAGCATTGTAGCAGGTGGCCCCTAACTAATGTGTTTCAACTTTTATTAAAATCTCTCATAACTAAGTTATACACACGTTTTCTTTCCCAATATTTTGACCATATCCGTTTTTCTAATTGTGATTATTATGGGATGCAATTGATTTGTAACGGAGGATTGTAAAAAGAGAATGATTAGAAATACGATGGGCAGTTATTTTTGAAGTGCCCGAAACCTCCGTATGCGAAGCATTGACGCGGGTCAGTGCTTGCTCTATTTTGAGCGACCTCATCTTCTCGAATTGTTTGAAGTCTTTGTCCAACCACTTGGTCTGGGTGATGGTATGGTGCTGCCCTCTGCACTCAACTGTTGTTAGCACCCATTCGGATCAAACCTCTCCTCACGAAGTTCTGTCGCTGCTGGTTGTCCTCCGTGTCTCTCCACCAGTGCAGTTTTGTCAACAAGACCCCGATAGTCTCGGATCTTGTGTGTCACAAGCTTCTTCCTGATAGCAGACTTTAAGCTTTGCTCAAAGCGTTTGACCCTCTTGGCCTTGATAAATATGAACTTCGCGGCATAGTTGGATAGCTCATCAAACTTCCTCTCATAATTTGCTACCGTCATGCTACCCTGTCATAGAGAGAAAAAAATATGAATTTATCTTGTCCCTGACTGATTTAGGAAAATATTTGTCTTAAGAGATCTGATCAAGCTCCTTTCAGGTAAGAGCATTCGTATTCCGGCTTCTCTTCACCTCCCCCTTTAGCAGATATGTAGTTAGGCCGACCCGCAAATCTTTGGCTACTTCCATGTCATCACACATTTTCTTCACTCGACGAATCCATTTATCCACATCTAAGGGGTGAGAGATTTCTTGGAAAGTAAGTGGGTGTTGCCGCAAATATTCTTGAAGAACTATCATTCTTCGATTTTCGTCCCTATTGTCCGGTACATGAGTTAATGAATGAATCCCTCATTGTGGTTGTTGTTTCCATTATGGTGTTGCACCAGAGTGGTTAGCTCCCTTAGACATTGATATATGTCATTCGTGGCATCTGAAGGTGGTGGGTTTACTTGGCTACCACGTCCACGACCACGTCCATATCCACGACCACGTCCATGTCTACCGTCCATCTTACACATTAATTTACAATTTAGTTTCCTCGATGTACAAAACATCTTAATTGTCACTTTAATCCAAAGCATAAGACTTGTATAAGATTTGAGTCAACAATTTTATTCAACCTTGTCCGACTTCTCTAGTGGCAATCCATAATCTACAGCTCCCATGTAAGACTTAATTTTTAGGCTCTGATACCAAAATTGTAACTCCCCAAAATCCCTCTTGGACACTATCTACAACCATTCACATGATGAGAGCAACTAAATGAACTTCATAAATAAAGATAATTTCATTCATCATCCACAATATATACAATATCATCTAAAAGAGTATGTCAAATTATTGCAATTACATCCCAAAAATCAGCTATTATCTTGTAGCAGAATAACAAAAATATTAGATTTCACATTGTCTCAAAATAAATTTCCTAGTCTAGAACATAAGAGAATACAACTCTAAATGTCTACATCGGGATCTACGTTCCCATCTATTGGAGTTTTCTAATGTATCGGCTCATCAACTCCGAGCTCCTCCTCTATACCATAATTTGAAAAAAATATTGTTTGTCGGAGGGTGAGTACTAAGTTCTGTAGGAAAATCCTCTCAAACTCGAACAAGGTTTCAAAAGCATATAAAACGGTTGGTCTTATTTTACAAATATCATATATAACTTTTGAAGGAAAACAGAGACATTTCAATGAATCTCAAGTCTACACAATAACAATAATTAAATGAAAAAATAAAACCAATTTCCAACAATAACAATTTTCAACAAGTAACCATTTCCACAATAACTAATTTCATAACAAACCAATTCCACCATAAACTCATTTTCACAATAAACCATAACCAACCATTTGTGTAAAACCTAGAAATTTTTTTAACCTTTTTCCAAAAAAGGGCAAAGTGTTAATTTGTCATTATAATACGAAATTGAAATACACATTCTCTAGAGCTCGTATGACACAACAAACTTTGCCGTTGAATTCGTATCGCGAAAACTAGTCACCTTGTCGAATTTCATCAAATTATGAGATAGTCGAATTTTTACACGTGATTCGAGACGGCCGGGTGGCGAATGACTTTTTAAAAGTACCCAAAAATGAATTTTATAAATTTTCCTTAGAATTGGATAAAAGTTTAAATAAAATTAATTTGGACTTAAACCGGGATATAATGAATCGTTTCGGAACGAAAAATGGACCCAGAAATAGGAAATTGGAAATATGTGGTGCGACGTGGATCGCACATTTGCGACTATAAATATCGACCAAATTTCTGAATTTTGAGACAAATATCTCATTATTCAGGCCCCCTTGACCCGCCAAAGAGAGAGAAAAGAGAAGAAACAAGTTAGTTTTTCAAGCTTCTTACCTCGGATCTTCGAAGTTCCGTCGTTCAGATTAACTCGGACCAAGAGTTAAAGTCGTTCAGCGCGACGAGGGTTACGTCTCCGTATCAAGAAAAGTGAATTTCACCGAAGATCCAAGAGGGGACTTTGGATAAATCAAAGATTCTTGGGGTTTGGTTGGTGTTCATGGAAGTTCTAATACTTCCTACACATTACAAGAGGTAGGGTTCTTCCTACTTTGGTTTTATTTCTATCTTTTTGGGCTGATTTAAGAGGTTGTTATGTGGCTGAAATTGTGGGCTATTATGTGGCTGAAATTGTGACTGTTTTGGGTTGAAATTGTGGACTGTTTTATGGCTTGTCTAGAGGCTGTTTTATGTCTTATTTATGGGTTGTTTTATGGCTTGTTTAGGGACTGTTTTGTGGCTTGTGTTGGGGCTGTTATGTGACTTGTTTAGGGGCTATTATGTGGTTTGTTTTGTGGGCATGATATATGTTTACATTATGCCTTGAGGATTAAGAGTGTTATTGTTTGATTATGTAATGACATACTTGGTTGTTGTTGTTAGATAAAATGTTGATATATATCTATTAATATATTGACATTGTGAGGAATTTTTGGAGATTATATGCGTATGATATAATTGTCCATGATACATGATGAAATGTGTGGTTTAAATTTGGCTCATTGACATCCATTACATTGAACATGACATTGATTGAGCAATGATGCATCACATTGCATTTACACGGGAAAAATGCATCCATGACCATGAGTATGGGTGTGTTGAGTGCATTGTTGGATCAATCACCATACTTGGTGTTTAATGGGTGGGCTTCCAGTTTCTACTGAAGCTTCCAGTGAAGTTTTGACCTATTTAGAAGTCGATTTCGAGAATTTTTGTAAAATACTCTTTTGTAGACTTGTCAGCTCAAACAGACATCAGGGTAAAAAGTTATGGTCCGAATACTAAGTAGTGTAAAAAATTCTTTCTACCCAAATTTTATCTAAAATGTGTTTGAACTCCGGCGGAATACTTCCTAACTTCTAGTTCATACCCTATTACCTTACCTAGCATTTTTTATTTTTACTCTTAAAATTCACATAGTTCATGCATACATCATCATATATATTAACATTTCAAAAATAAGTACATTGCTATATAAAGATAAGAATGTGGAGTTTTACAGTAAACCTTCACGGAAAAAAATCGTCCACTGGGGATCACCTAGTGATTTTAAAATGTAGTGAGTAGAATTGGAAGAGGTCATGAATACGATAGACTTTGTTTTGTGCTTTACATGATGGTGTTCATTTTGTTAGACTTAGAATTCCATTGCATGTGTTTTTGAAGTCGTCGTGAATTAAATCGCACTGTAATTTCATAAATGAATTGGGGCAAGGTTGGAAAATGTGATACTGTAGTGTGAATCATGTTTTTGAGTAGTTAAGATAACAAATAGGTTGTTATAATTGATTAGAGTCAAATAAGTTAGATAAAGTGGGATGGGAGTAAAAAGGTGCAACAAAGAAATTTTTGTAGAATGGAGGAGGGAAGGTATTGATACTAGTTCACAGAGGTACCGGTACCTAGGAGACAGAACACCCAGGTACCGGTACCTTCTTGCCCTAATTTGTGAAAATTGAGGGTTTTAAAGTGGGAAAAGTCGTTCTACAGCTTTAGAATAGATCACTCAAGTACAGGTTGTGCGAAATAATAAATTTTTCGAGAATCTGAGTTCAAACCACAGGGAATTGAGAAAAATTTAGAACACAAAGAAAAATAAAAGAAAATTATTTTAAAAAAATTGTTGCAGATATTTTAAAATTTGGTTGTAAAACAATAATTTAAAATATTAAAGTAACGGGGATATCCTTTCAAATCTATATTGTAATTATTAATGATCTAGTTTCGAACTCAATTGAGAATCAACTATGGAGTGATCCCAATTGAAATATTTAGCAGTGATAATATGAAAATATCAAAAGTTATAATTAATGAATTATCTGAATAAATATAAGAATTATTTGTATATCACAAGCATTTACCCTGTCCGGGGTCTACGATAAATCAACTCTCTTATAAGAAATTATAATTAATTAATTTAAGTATGGAATAACCAGTTATTTGACTTGGAGGGAATCTCAAGCATTCGATATACGTGGCACAACGAATCAAAAAATTATACATAGCAAAAACTTTACTAGAAAAAAAAAATTAAATTAAAAGAATAAATCATGTATTAAAAAGAACATTAAATTAATAATAAGTACTGTACTTCATTGAAAGTATATTCCCTAGCTTTAGTTGAGTTTTTAGCAAGTCATAGAACTAAAACAAAAAAATAGAAAAGAAAAGAAAAGATGGAAAAAAATAATAATTTAAATCATAGATGAGAATCCTTATTTATACTAAAAATAAATACTAAGTATAGGTAGAAGATATAAGGTTGACTTAGAAAGAATTCATTTCCAAAAAGAAGTCTTTTAAGGTTAAGTTTTGTGCATAAAATTTTTGGGGCGTCAATACAAAATTTGTCCATATTTCAAGCTTGTATTTCACATATTTAGAAGTTAATTCATGAAATACACTTTTGTAGTCCTTGAATTATTATTTCCAACCCCATAAATATCAAGTCAATCGGATATTGAAGTCAAAAGTTATGACAAAAATACTGAAGACGTGTCAAATCCTTATCTTTTAGGATAGTTTTCAAATCC